TTTCTCTATTTTATTTTTTTTAATTCTAATATATATATATATATATATATATATATATATATATATATATATATATCAGTTATTTAATAAATATGTTTGGTACTCTTTTTCATTTTTATAATCCAAGATACCTGCATTTAAAAAGATCCCATTTTATTAAAATACACCCTATATATGTATGCTTATATATATATATATATATATTGTATATGTGAAAGGTATTGGCCTTTATACAGTAAGGATGTGAAATTATCGTTGTAAAATGTTTGATCTTTCTGATTAATATTCATATTTTTCAATAAAGTGCATTAAAAATATAAATATTTTGTACAATCCATTTTACTGTAAATGAGTGAAATTCTGTCCAAAAATGGAGATTCTTTTATTATTTCGGTTTAATTGCTATTCATTTTTTACTGGTATTTCGTTTATCTTAATTTTATTTATTTTTCAGCACAACTAACTGGACCTTCAGTCAACGACAATAACACTGATCGGGGATGGAGAATACACCCCGTGTGAATGAAAAATTACACCTGCTTTGGTCTTCAAAAGATTGTCTTTTTAATAACTGCTCACCTGCCTGTTTTTAGACTGCTATATTGTTGACAGAAGATCAATTCCGACGATATATATTTACTGTTTTTCACCTCAAAAAATAAATAAATGATATTTTTAAATATGAAGAAATACTGAACACACATTTTATTTTCGTCTCGTTTTTTATGCGAGTTTAGTTTAAATTCAATCTATTTTAGATGACTTTTCATGTAGCTTTTCATTTTATTTAGTTTTATTTTATTTTAGTTTCAGTTTACTGTTTTTTTTTTTTTTTGGCAGAAGATCAATTCTGATAATAAATACTCACTGTTTATTTTCCTAAGGCTTAGTAAGTAAATAATACTTTTAAATATGAAGAAATATTGAATAAATTTAATTTTATTTTTTTTAGTTCTGTTGGTTTTTTTTTTTATTTCCATCTATTATTTGTTTTTTTAGTTTAGTTTAAAGACAAAAATATTTTTTTGTAATCAGTATCATCCCATGAATTAGTAAACAGAAACATTAATAATGAGTGGGAAGAATAAAAACAGAAATAATCAGGAGGACAGTAGATAGTAAATAGCGATTGACATTGCATTTAAATTTTTGCAGATTAAAGTTGGCTGGAAAGCATGGAGCCGGAAGGGAGTTCCACAAGTGAGAAGTGCGAGAAAAGAAACTGTTAGCATAGAACTTACGGTTACATCTAGCCAGCTCAACTGTAAATTGATGAGATCTCGACGCCAGTCTAGTACTGCGCTTAAATTCAAAAGAATTAGGTACCATAGCGAAGAGCTCATCCGAACAATTACCATGAAAGTATTTATAGAAAAGACACAGAGAGGCAACCTTACGGCGGTGGGAAAGTGACTGAAGCCGAGCCGCCAGATCAGGACCAATAATATTGCTGATTCTTCTTTGGATTTTATCAAGGAGCTCAAGGTAAATAGCAGGGCACCGGACCATATGTGGCAGCAATATTCTAAGCATGGACGAATGGTAGACTTATAGATATGTAAGATAGATTCTGGAGAGAAAAATTGTCTCGCACGACACAGTGAACCAAATTTCTTAGCAGCTGATCTAGCAATGGATTCAATATAGTCTTTCCACTTCATGTCAGCTGAAAACGTTAGCCCGAGAATGTGCACCAATTCACTTTTCATACCGATGGAAGGCAGTGAGGGATCTCGCAGAAAGAAGTTTAGTTTTGAAGGTGTTAAAAATAACAAGCCATCTTTTGTCCCAGTTAACAACGGACTTCGTTTTGGATATCGGCTGCCATTTTGACCTTGTTGAACTAATCAACCTCACTATCGAGGGAGGATTAAATGATTGTGTCATCGGAAGGTTATTAATTGAAATTCTTCAAGTAAAACCAAAAATGGAGCCTTGGGGACTCCCACGTTAGTACTGAAGTATCTAGACGAATAGGATCATAATAACTTTCATATCACGTTTTAAAATGAAGACTGGATCTGTTTATAAAAAAATTGTCCGGAGACAAAATTAACTTTTCAGCCATGTTTAGAAGACCTTTATGCCAAACCCTGTCAAAGGCTTTTGAGATGTCCAATGCTACAAGCCGGGCTTCACCGTGAGATAATGCCGTTGCGAAAAAAAACATGTGCTATGGAACAGTTCATAAATCCTTTGTTGTTTATAACTTATTTATATTCCTTACTTTCATTCCTTGCTACAATTAGACGTTCCTGTAGAGAATAGAGCCACAGTCTCACCACTCTAGGGCCACAGCTTCACCACGCAGGCGTTGTTGCTGTGGTTTCTGTACCAAAGGGTTTTTTACGAGGACGTTTTGGCATCCCCACACCGAAACGCCTACCTTTTGCCAACAAAAGCTGAAGAGCCTAATCTGTCGTACTATTTAACCCATAGCTGGGGATGAGAAGGAAAAGAGATGGGTTCATACCTTTCACAAGTCCATTGGTAAGTAGGCAGTTCCATTCGGACAGCTTATTCCCAAGAACCGCTGCTTTTGTTAAACAGATTCCAGAGTGTTTTTAAGCTCTCCGAAGCACTACTTCAAATAAAATAAATATAAAAAAAGTGTTATATTTTTTTCTTTCCAATTCTAAAATAATCTGCATTTTTAAATTTCAATCTTCTTACGTTCATACAACCTTTATCTAGTTATCCTTTACCTTGAAGAGAATGTCAAGCCTGATGATGTTTGGTGTATTTAAACGATAGTTGTAGAAATTTAACGCATGTGAAAATTTCAATGCAATCTAATAAGATTCAAACAATTTGAACTTGGCGATATTCCATTTTTCAAACTGTCAACACTCAACCATCGATGTATATAAATTATCCAGTGTGGAGGAACAAATTCCTTGTAGAAAAAAAAGACTTTGAAAAATATTTCACCATTATAATGACATACTGGGTCATTATCTGATTTTTTAGAGACTGTTGGAGGCAAAAGTTTCGGAAACTTCACTTGCAAAAAATCAAAAAGCGTGCAGAAGGAAAGTTTTCCTTTTCATCCCCAGGCATCCATATCGGGGAGAAAAACACCATTCAAATCTTGGAACAAAAATTTTAATTTGTATTTAATTTTAATAAAAAACTTTTGTCAGTTTCCTATTTCATCTGTTTTTTTTTGTTTGTTTTTGTTTTTTTTGTTGTTTTTTGTTTTTTTACATATTCAAAAAATCTTCCTTTCTCCCATTTCTGCGTACTAGTTCCTCTCAACTTAAAAGAAACAATTGAGTCTTTCTAAATACAATCAAGGGTTGGCCTTTGGCATCGCCAAACCTCTACACGTCAGGGTTAGAAATGTTTTTTCATATATTTACAATCTCTTTCCTTTCCTGATAAAACAATCATACAATGTAGGATACTGAAAACAACTAGGATAAAATTATTATTATTATTATTATTATTGTTGTTGTTGTTGTTGTTGTTATTATTATTATTATTATTATTAATTATTATTATTATTATTTTCTTTGATTTCTGGCGTTTACATATTTCTTTCCGGGTCCCGCCCAGGGACCTAAGGTTAGAAAAAAAAAATGAAATTGCATAGATAAAGACCTTCGTAAGGTGTGGGCTGTACTTGTCAGAACAATTTTTTGTATGATTATCATTATTATTGTTATTATTATTATTATTATTGTTATTATTATTATTATATGTCCCGTGCCCCCTCAAGACGTGGGTGATCTTGACTCTGTTGTTTGTAAATGTTATTCTTAACCTTTAAGTTTTATAAAATAGTCTGACGGTTTCCCGGTGAGTATTTTTTTAGACATACCTTATACGACGACGAAGTATTCCCTGTCCGACTAAAGAAACCTTTCTATGCGTATAAGAACAAAAACTGTTTTCATAACTTAGTTTTTTTGTTGGTTTTTTAAATTTAAATCAGCGAGAATACTAATGTAGGACCTGGGCTATGGAGAAGACTTGCTGTCGCTTTATCTCTAGCGGGAGACATCCGATACAACCGGTGTGAAAACAAGATAATAATAATAATAATAATAATAATAATAAATAAATAAATAAATTTAAAAAAGTAAGAATAAAAAAAGAAGACGACAGTTCTGTTATGGCTTGTTGAAATCATGGCGTGCGTATCTCTCAACTCAAAAAATATACCCCCGCCTCCAACTGCCTTACTCCAATCTGACGTTTTATTACTGGCTGTCAAGAGAATTTTTTTATGGCCTTCGTCTAAAACATCTATTTCTCTCTCTTTTTCTCCTCGCCATTTCTGTCTGTCTATCTATCTCTCTCTCTCAGTCTTTCTCTCTCCACCCTGAAGAAAATGATAGTCAAAAGCCACAATGCCCCGCCCCTCGCTTCAATTTGTCATCGCTGACGTCACATCCCAACGTGGGCTCCAACATCGAGATCTCTGTTGACACACACAAATAACAATGTACTTTTTTTTTTTTTACCTAAGAAGCTTGTATATAAAATATACACGCACTTTTTTTTATATTTTTTTATCATTACTTAGCAAAAAAATAAATGAGTATGGGTGTTGCATACGTCGGGTGTGCGTATTGGGAGGAGAGAGGATGTTGTCTTCTTCTTCCAATAGGTTCAAATGTGATGAGCGGTATATGCGTATGTCGGATGTGCATATTTGGAAGGTTTTCTAGGTCGTCTACAGAAGTAGGGAGGATATTTTCTTTTCATATTTTACGTACATACTTCAATGTTAGTGTTTAACTAGTTTATGGAAATAAATGTTTTGAAAGTGTAGAATGATCATGTTGCGTCAGAAAAATCGAGGGTGATATTTTGTTTGGGAGGAAATTCCTTATATTTTTACCACCACCAACATACACAGACTTTTTCGTTGAAACAGAGAATTGAACTGAAGAGTAAATTTGTGCTTAGCGTAAACTTTGACGTTCCTATTGAGCTGGTCTGTATTGTTTGTTTTAGAGTATCATTTACTACTGTCATTGACTCATTAGGCTTACGGTCTCATCACGTTGAAACATTGGTTCTCGTGTGATCAACGAAGTTAAGCAACGTCGAGCCTGGTCAGTACCTAGATGGGCGACTGCTTGGGAATAACAAATGGATGGACGGGTAGTGTAGTAGCTAAGCGTTCGGAATTGTTTTTAATCGGGGAGCCGGATTCGTTATATATTCACTTTGGAAAGACAGCAATCTACATTTTCTCCGTCGGTTAATTAGTAAGTCTTGTACTTGTCTCACTAAACCGTTTATTATCTCCTAAATAAATTCTTACAATCTAAAAATATTTTCTGACTTTAAATAACCTGAAAACGGTTGATAACCCGTAGAAAACAAATCAATGAATCAACCAAATACTGATTAGCTACACAGGCATGTCTTTTAGATTTATTCAAATTCTCTGGATTATAAATGAATAGAAACTACCATGACAACAAAGTGAGGGATCAGTTTATATATTGATTGTGATATGGAATTGACCCCCCACTTTATATACACATTATAATTTCTTGTTTGTTTACCAAATTCTGATTAGGTTTGACTCCACCTCTTCTCCCCCAGGTAGGGGTTAATTAGTGAGACTTATATCAGTAAATCATTATTATCTCCAAAAAATACAAATAATAATAAATTCTTAGCATCTAAAAATATTTATCTGGCTTTAAAAATTCTGCAAACTGTTGACAAGCCGTAAAAACGTAAAAAAAAATATTGTTATTAATTTTTAAAATAAATTAGAAAAATTAGTTTTTCCATTTTTTTGTTTTTCGAATAATTCGGTTCCAAAGACTTTTATAAATCTTATACTTATATGCGGAAAATATCAATTGGTTCCATTGCAGAAAATAAGTAAAAGGAAAACCTAAAACAAAATGCGTTTTAAAAATCAAAGCAAAAAGAAAAAAGATTACAAGAATAGTATTCTTAAACATATATATATATATATATATATATATATATATATATATATATATATATATATTCGTTTTTTTAAATTCACTATGAAATATAGAATACAGAATCTTAGGTTGACTCAGTTCAACCACTTTTAACATCATATTAAGCATCATTTTTTCTTTCTTTCTTTTTTTTTTTTTTTTGCTTCACCCGATTTGAACACTATCTTTTATTTAATTTTAATCATCTGAACTAACAGCATTTAATATTCGATTTAGTACCCCCCCCCGATTTTTTATTTTATTTTCTAGAGCGCTGCTTGCAGGGAATAGAGTCTAGGTGCTTCGAAAATCAGTATTTAAAATGCTGATTCCTTTCTGAGCTCGAACGCCGAGAAAACATGTAACTTTAACAATAATACATAACCTGTATGTGGGTGTTATTGTTTATAACCCTTTCGCATACATATCGTGTGCATGTGTGTGTGTACATGCGCCTGCTTGTGTGTGAGCATGCGTGTGTTCGTGCGTGCGTGCGTGTGTGTGTGTGTGTGTGTGTGTGTGTGTGTGTGTGTGTGAACGCGCTAATGTATATATGTGTGCGTGTGAATGAAAGAAAGAAAGACAGATCGAAAGAATGAAAGAAAGAAAGGGGGAGAAAGAGTTTGATTTAAAAGCGGTTCCTAACTTTCACGTATTTATAATTCGCGTTTTTGCATAACATCCCAGGCTTTTTATTTTATTTATTTATTTATTTTTATTTTAATCATTTCACCCCAAGCAAGGCAATATAGAGCCACTGAGTGTTAGAGAAATATGAGAAAAATACTATTTAAGGTGTGAGAATAATGCTTAGCATTAAGTGGCAGCAAGTCAACTTAGTTCCTCCCTACCAAAGTATTTTCACCATTTTCAACAGCGCTATGAATTCAATCGTCTCACTTTTTCCTGGAATCCCAAAATCTTCCCTATCTTTTCTTTTGCGAGATTTTTTTTACCCAGTCCAAGAGATGCTATAAATATCGGAACAAAAGTATTTACCATTGTCTTCATAAGCCTTGGCTTCAGGAATCCCTTGGGAATAAGATAGGAGGCTAAGTGACAGCAAAATTGCAATCCTATTAAGAATCATATCACCCGTTTTCATTTGTTTATCATTCGACTTCCGGTTGATTTTGGTCTCTTAACCTTTAGCCGTATAACTGATATGGTAGCCCTTGCTAGATAAATACCAAATTAAGATTTTAGTAGGTTCAACATTTAACTGCCAGGTTGGGTAGACAGAAAAATAGGTGTAATAATGTTTGTTTGCGCGTCTGGCTTTATCCCTTTCACTTATATATATATATATATATATATATATATATATATATATTTGTGTGTGTGTATAATATGTATGTATAAAAATATAAAAATATATATATATATTATTTATATATTATATATGCGTTGTACTTATTGGAAAGTGCTCAATATCAGTGATAGAGCTATTTATTTGTGTTGATCTGAGTTTGACAAACTCACATCAACACAAGCATATATATATATATATATATATATATATATATATATATATATACAGTTGCTGCCAAAGTAGGCATACAGTAAGTTAAGTATTTTACCAATATTACGAGTATAATGGTTCTAGAATTCATTTAATTCCTTAAAATCATTTTTAATATTTTAAATTCATTTTTTTTAAATTTTTAATAATAATAATAATGACATCGAGAAATTGTACAAATATAAGGACGTAGAGATTAACAGGATTGGGGAATGAAGACTGAGAATGTATCAATAATAATCAGAGCCCTGGGCCTCGCGAGAAAAAGGAATGGACAATTTTACTAACAGTGTCCCAGGCAACATACAAGTTGCCCAGAAGATCGCCCTACTAGAAACATCTCATATACTAAGAAAAGTGCTATTAATTAAATCACAATTCTTTTTTTTTAGGCCCTAAGGACCATAGTTTGAACCCGACTCTACAGGATACAAACCAGCAAACATAACACACAAACAATAATAATAATAATAATAATAATAATAATAATAATAATAATAAATGTTTTGCATATAAAGAGTAGGGCGTGAATGACGAGAGCAAACAGTTGAGGGATTGATATGTTTATTATTGATAGGTTTGTATTTCATTACTATATATTTACTCTTGCAACACCCTATATCTATCTATCTATCTATTTATATATATATATATATATATATATATATATATATATATATATATATATATATATATATATATATATATATATGTATATATATGTATATTATATATTTTTATAAATAACAGACCACCTTATGTTTCCATTATATATATATATATATATATATATATATATATATATATATATATATATATATATATATATATATAAGTTTAAGGGAAAAATAATTTCGTTTTTCTAACATAGGTTACTATGTGAAAAAACGTAATTATTTTTTGCACCAACCTAATATATATAACCAAATTCGTAAGTTGTAGGATTATTCCAAGGAAGTCTTTTTAATATAAAAATATTAAAAGGTTAAATCCAAGATGATAAATGAATTTATAATGGATTATATATATATATATATATATATATATATATATATATATATATATATATATATATATATATATATATATAGTGTTAAAATAAATTTATAACCGATTATATGATGAATATTTATGTCCTTTCTTTATTATATATATATATATATATATATATATATATATATATATATATATATATATATATGTATTATTTAAAAAACAGGAACATGATTTATTAATATATTATACAAAAGTATCAAAGCCTTTGAAAAGTGTCGACCGAAAGGTACTTAAATTTTTAAACGCTGTGAGACTTTTGTATCCTATTTTAATAATAAATTATGATCCCCTTTCTTAAGACCATTTTTATCCTGGTATGGCAACAATAATCTGTTTATATATATATATATATATATATATATATATATATATATATATATTATTATTATTAATATTATTATTATAAGCATTATTTTGTAGTGGGTAGATGTGTTACTATTCCTGTTTTTATTATTTTATTAAACAGTGAAATTAACAACACCCGGATTAATTTTGAACTCCTATTAAAAAGTTTTTGCCTCTGGCAGGAGTTGAACGCGCAACCCATTTTCCATCCGGGAAACCACTTTTTTTTTGCCAAAGTTGTCATTTTAGATAGTTTTTTTTTATTTTTATTTATTTCACGTTTAATAAAATGAAAAAGGGACAGTCTCCGCTAAAAATACCGTTTATAGTCATAATAAATGATGTCGGATGAAAAAAAATCCTGTCTATTTCTTAAGTTTCTCTAATGTTCGGGCCTGTAGATGTTGAAATACTCTAAAGAAGTTACAAGAGGGTCTCTTCAAACACGTGTATCTACTAAATGCAACGTTTATAGTAATAAAAAAAATAGAGAGAGAGAGAGAGAGAGAATCTAAAGTATATATTAGGGACATCCTCAAAAAAAATAAAAAAATAAAAAAAATTAACGAGATACCTAAAATGAATTTTTAAAAATCAAAAGTTTTTCTTTATTTTAGTTTTAATTTCAAACTAATAAATTAACAGATCGCGACATCTATCAGAGAGATAAAATTAAAATTATTGCATTATTCCAAAATTTGAACACATCAGCAGAAAGCTATTAATGTCAACAACTGAGCACAAATAGTTATTAATTTAAAAAATTAGTAATTAATGTATAATATTATCCATAATTACATGTACAAGAATGTCGTTTTTGATAAAATTTAAAAAATAATGATAAATACGTAAAAAATTCGTATATTGTCTAAAATTCCATTTTCCACAATATAGATATTTTTGCTATGTTATAATGTTTATTACTTAAACAATAATAATACTGAATATTTCTTTTTAAACATTAAAGTATATTTAATCACATCTTCCTAATAGCTATTGCGATCTGTAAATTTAATATTTCCAATAAAAAAAATTTCAAAAACTAATTAAAATTGACTGGAAAGAATTTCTTTCTTTTTTTTTTTTTTTTTTTTGTTAAAATAGCTGATTAGCGCCCTTTTTTTAGTCATCTTTCATAGCAATGTAATTCTCTTTATTAAAAAAATCTTACAAAAATATAAAATACTTTATTTGAGGAATATTAGCTGATTTAAAATATAATTAATCTGATTTGAAACAA